CCACCAGGGAAGCCCTCCTGCAAGTTATTATTTTTTTAAAAAATATTTTTATTTATTTATTTGGCTGCACCGGGTCTTAGTTGCGTCACGCGGGATCTTTTAGTTGTGGCATGCGGGATCTTTTAGTTGCGACATGCATGTGGGATCTAGTTCCCTGACCAGGGATCGAACCTGGGCCCCTGCCTTGGGAGTGTGAAGTCTTAACCACTGGACCACCAAGGGAAGTCCCAAGTTATTAATTTTGAGTTAATATTTATGTATTTATGTGAGGTAGGGTTACAACATTTTTTTGTATGCAGATAGCCATTTGTCCCAGTTACATTTGTTGAAAGGCTATGCTTTCACCATTTAGTAGTGCTGGCATTGTTGTTGAAAATATTTATGAGTTTTCCCCCCCACGGCTTATGTGCTTCTAGTGATTCTTTTTTTTTTTTTTTTTTTTTTTTCTGGCCATGCCGCATGGCTTGCTGGATCTTAGTTCCCTGACCAGGGATTGAACCCAGGCCACAGCAGTGACAGCGCCAAGTCCTAACCACTGGACCACCAGGGAACTCCCTATTAATTCTTATATGTAATACCTTTTTTGGTTTGTCTTTTGAAATAACTTCTTGATGGTTTTCAATAGGATTAGTGAAAGTTGTCTTTTTTTTTTTTTTTTTAATCGCTTGATGTATTTCATGAGTATACACTTGGTGAGATCACCTCTTGATCTTTTAAACAGTTGAGATTTAACCAGGCTTTGAGGTGCTGTAGAAGCCACCAGAGACCAGTTTGAAGAAGCCAGCCTTTAAAGACAGTGTGGCATCATTCTCTCTTACGTCCGTCTGCCCTAAGACAAATTTACTGTGTTTTTCCTGTGCAGTAGGCAGTAACAAGGCTGGATGGGATGAAAAGGAGTCAGTGATTGGACTGTAACATTTGGTAGTTACAGTGTACTTATCTTACTATGATGAACTGGGTAATTTGAGAGTTGGTGATAATTGGTGTGAAGCAGATTAGTGGGAGAAGCCTCAGAAAAAAATATTCACTGATGTGACCAGGAATCTCTGCCAAGACAGTCCTCTGCTATTGTTGAACCTGAGGGTCTAGAGTGGTGCCATCTAATAGAAATGTAATGTGAGCCTCATTTGTAATTTAAAGTGTTCTAGTAGCCACATTAAAAAGAAAAAAGATGAATTTAATAATTTATTATATCCAAAACATTATTATTTTGACATGTAATAAATATAAAATTATTTTATATATATATATATGTGTGTGTTGTTGTTGTTGTTTTTCCAGTACGTGGGCCTCTCACTGTTGTGGCCTCTCCTGTTGCGGAGCACAGGCTGCGGACGCGGAGCACAGGCTGCGGACGCGCAGGCTCAGTGGCCATGGCTCACGGGCCCAGCCGCTCCACGGCATGTGGGATCTTCCCGGACCGGGGCACGAACCCGTGTCCCCTGCATCGGCAGGCGGACTACCAATCACTGTGCCACCAGGGAAGCCCCAATATAAGATTATTAATAAAATATTTTACATTTTTTTGTACCAAATCTTGGCAATTCAGTACGTATTTTACACTTAGAACACATCTCAATAAGGACAAGGTACATTTTCAGTGCTCAGCACTCACATGGGGCCAGAGGATAGCAGAGTTCTAGGTGTTTTGATATGATAGCCAGTCAAGATATTACATCAACATTACTCAACTTCCTCTGTATTTCAAGGTACCCTGACTCATCCCTTTAACTTGATAGAACTGGCTTTAGGGGAACTATCTGCCTGCCTGTTCAGCATGGCCCTCCCTGACCCCAGAGGGTCTGAGAATTTTGTTAAGCAAGTGACGTGGCAGCTCACCAAGAGACATACATTATGATAAAGATACCCAAGCCTCTCAAACTAGAGAAAATGGGCATGTGAAAATTAGAATCTGTTCTCCCTTATCATAGATACAGTCTGTTCCATTGAGGTAAAGGTATATGTAGCAAATGCCACCGATGAAGTGGTGCTCACACGGGCATCATTTTGCCACCACTCCCCTCCCCTCCCTCCCTCCACCCCCTCCTCCCCACCCATTTGTCAGTGTCTGGACATAGGTTTTTTTTGGTGATGATTAAAAAATTTTTTATTGGAGTATAGTTGATTTACAATGTTGTGTTAGTTTCAGGTGTACAGCAGAGTGAATCAGTTATACATATATGTATATCCAGTGTTGTTTTTTTTTTAAGATTCTTGTCCCATGTAGGCCATTACAGAGTATTGAGTAGAGTTCCCTGTGCTATACAGCAGGTCCTTATTAGTTATCTATTTTATATATAGTAGTATGTATATTGTCAATCCCAATCTCCCGATTTATCCCCCACCCCGCTCGTCCCCTGGTAACCATAAGTTTGTTTTCTACATTTGTGAGTCTACTTCTATTTTGTAAATAAGTTCATTTGTACCCTTTCTTTTTTTAGATTCCACATATAAACGATATCATGTATTTGTCTTTCTCTGTCTGACTTACTTCACTTAGTATGAGAATCTCTAGGTCTACCCATGTTGCTGCAAATGGCATTACTTCATTCTTTTTTATGGCTGAGTAATATTCCATTGTATATATGTACCACATCTTCTTTATCCATTCCTCTGTTGATGGACATTTAGGTTGCTTTGTCTCTGGACATGTCTGTGATGATCACAACTGACATGTAGTGGCTGGAGGCCAGGCTGACAGCGTTCTACAATGTACAAAACAGCACCCACAGCTGTGAGTTTCCTGGCCCAAGTATCAGTGGTGTCGAGCATAGCAGCGCCCTGCAGCAGTGGAACAGGATCTTCTAGTCCTTCCCTTTTCATTAGTTGTTACATAGTCTCCACAGGGAATATGTGTCATTGTTTTTTTGGTTTTTTTTTTTTTTTTTTAATTTAGAGGATCTCTTTATTTTTTCATATAAAATTTCTTAGGAAGAAATAGTCAACATTGAAAGTATTTTTGGTTGAGCAAATTTGTCAAATAGATAGATTCCACCCCCAAGAATGGGTCATGTAAATCTTTTCTCTAACCTCTTCCCTTTGGGGAAGCATTGAAACTGGTGCAGTTCCTCTCCTACCTCCCCTTCCTCAGGCCTCTTTTCCCTAGGATCATTTTATTTTCAGTAAAGCCATGTCTGTTAAAAAGAAAATGAGCATTTGCAAGGCTGCCAGAAAGATGACTGCACTTCCATAAGGTCTCTTGGGATTTCTTTGGAGGTCCTGGCAGTGGTGTTGGTATTTGGTTGTGATGACTCCCTTTCAGTACTCCATCGTGAGGCATGGTTAATTGAGAATGTTATCGCCACCATTGTCCTAATGTCTGTTACCTAAGGAGCTGTAACTTTGAGTCTCCATAAATTGTAGCAAGTAGAAATCAGTACAAGTCATTTTCAGATTATAAACATTCTTTAGTTGTCCTGCCAAAGGTAATCATACTTGCCAGGGTTGACCTTTAAGGTTACCTGTGAGGTGTGATCCCCACCCCATCCTCATGACTGCTGGTGTTTCTACTGCCTTCCTTCGTTTGCTGTGGCACTTTGAGTTTTTGGTGGCAACCCACATAAATGAGCTGTAACTACCTTAGGCTGAAGGCAGTGTGCTAAAGGCTATTTGGGGGCTCCTAGATTTGGCAAGAATTTAGAGGTTCAGCTTAGAAAGGGGCAAGTCCTCTGACCCTGCCTTTTACTAGCAGCTAGGATGAGTTTGTACCCTGTGATGGCTGACCTTCTCAAGCAAGGTTCCACGGCTCTGTGCCCTAGGCTGTACCACAATGAGGAGAGAGGACTGGAGCCAGCCTTTCATTGTGCAGGGAGTAGCAGTGTTCCAAAACATGCTTTTAGAAAGGGAGCATCAGTACTGGGCAGGCCAAAAAAATGGCCATTGTCTACCACATCAGTGTCTGTGAGGTTCCCCTTGCTTCCCAGACTAGAGGCCCTCTGTTCATCCCACTGAAACTGCCTCTGGGGAACAGTCCATCAGCCGAACCCCCTTGCCCCTACCACTCGGTGTCTTTTCCCTCCCCACTTTTTATCTGTAGAGCTGTGGCCAGCTCAGGGAGAGCAGTGGTGGTCCTGTTGTTAGGGCAGCTTGCAGCTCAAGAGAGGTTCTGCATCCAGTTGAGACTATTGGTTCAAGATTCCCCATTGGGATATGGCTAGAAGGAGCGGTTACATTTTATAAGTGAAAGCTTGATTTTACAGAATTGCATTGTGAATGCTTTACTTCTAAGCAAATGTATTTAATATATCCTGAGTTATTCTAGATATCTGAAAGGTTTACATCTGTAACCTCTCAAGTTGTTTATTTGTTTTTAGTATTATAGGTTTTCCTATCTTTTGTAAAAGAGTATACTAAACATTTAGCCTTTTTGTAACAATTAGAAATAACCATTGGAAGTCTTGCATTGATGTATGGATTGTATTTGTATTTGACTGCAGTGGATGTTTTCTTTGTTTAATTTCCAGTTTGGGACAGTGTTCTTGTCTTGCTAAGCAAGGTGTACATTACAGTATACATTAGTTGGCTTTTATGAGTTATCCAGGAAACCTAACCACATTCCTACTGTTTCTATGGGGAAAGGAATTCTGATTTTAAAATGATGGAAAATAAGCCCTTTTTTTAAAGTCTAGGGTTGCTTTCCTCTGTCTTTTTCTAATCTCTGGGGGATGTGTTCTAACTACTAAGGCTGTGTATCATGAGGGGATAACTCTTTTTCACTTACAATTCATAATATTATCAAGACTTAAGAAATAATGACGCTTGGAGTGAAAACGGGCCTGCAGAAATATTCCTTGGTTAATAAGGGTAGTCACCCCCCCCCCCCCCCCCTGTGTTTTTAAGCAGTACTTGAATTCAGCTAAAGTGGCTGAAGTGACATTAATCAGCATCTCTTCTTAGTGTGTGACAAGTTTTATTTTTTCCCATATTAAGAAGCTCTCAAGTGTATTCATAATGCAGGATTTACTTCTGAGTAAACAAGAATTGTCCTTCCTCTGTTTCAGGCCGGAGCCTCAGCAGAAAGCTCCCTTGGTTCCTCCACCCCCGCCCCCTCCACCACCGCCGCCTCTGGCAGACCCTGCGCCCCCGGAGCCAGAGGAGGAGATCCTGGGGTCAGACGATGAGGAGCAGGAGGACCCCGCAGACTACTGCAAAGGTGACGAGCCCGCGCGCCGCGCGCCTGCCGGCAGAGCGCGGGAGCTTGGTGATGCCAGCTCCCTGGTCGTTGTTAAGTTAGCCTCTTGCTGTCCGTATCGTTGAAAACTTCTAGATCATTAAGAGTAAAATGCTACCTGAAAATATAAGAGATATCAGGAGGAAAATTTGTAAGGGAAAGAAAATAAATACATGTGTGCGTACATATGCTGAGTACGTTCAAGGGATTTAAATCCGCTGGTAGGATTAAAAAGATGGTATAAAGCAGGACTATTAAAGATAAACACAGAGTAAACCATCTGCGAAGAGAAGAGCACAGAAAGTAGAGGGTACGAAGCCCCTACAGGAGGAGCCAGTTAAACTGCTGTTCTCTGCATTGGATTTGAGCTTCTGGGCTGCTAAGACTAATAAGGAACTGTTCCTTTCTCTGCGCAGCGCTGAGTTACATAGTATTCATTGTGTGTGGAACGAAAGTCGGTCCATTTGTTTCCTGGCGTTGTACTCAACGAGAAAGACAGTTTGTGGGTTCTGCCATTGTGACGTAGTGGATTATGTTTTCAGCTATAATTTCACAGATACATAGAAGTTATTCAAGTGGAGTATTCTTGTATTGACGTTTCGTGAAGCCCAAGAGCATATAGCTAAACTCCTAGAAGGCAAGCGTGTTGTGTGATGAGTATTGAAAACAGTTTGATCCAGACCCCATACTCTGTGTAGACTGGATCCCAGGAATCTAGGCGAAAGGAAAGGCAGTCCATTTGCTGCCTCCTCTTACTCACTTGGACTTTAATTCCCTCTAATGGAAAATTATCACAATCTGAATTCTTAGCTTCTGAACAGTTGATGAGACATTTATCTGCTACAAATTAAGGAAAACGTAAATCAGATTCTATACGGCTTAAGAATAGATGGCAGGAGATGCACACATGTTCAGGCCATAAAGCATTAATGACTCTTCGGCTCTATTGTATCTTAGTGTCAGTTTATCTAGTGATTGCAGGCCCTTTGTGTGTTGGTTAATGTTAGATACGAGAAAGCAAAAGTTAATATTCTGCTCTGAAAAGTGTAAGAAGGAATCTTCTGCTCTAACGTGATTTTTCCATAGGTGTAGATTTCTACACATAGAATCATGTTTTCCTTAGAAAATGGAATGTTGATCTTTAGCATTTGTACGAGTAGTGATTATGACCCCAAAGGTAAAGATCTATGCCTTTTAATATGGAAAAGAAGATGTTTTCCATCCTCCCTCTTAATCTGCATTTCTTCGTTTGAAAATGAAGTTATTTGAAGAGGAAATGCGGACAACTGTCTTGATTTTGCTGCTTAGGCCAAAACATTAGGTTGGTGTGAAGGAACTGTTCTCTTCAGGTCATAGGTTCCCCACTGCTGGAATGAGAATATTTGCCTCACACGTGGCTCTTTTGTGGTATAGACCATAACAGGTGTTTAAGATAACTGACAAATGCTTTCAAGGGGCCCATGGAGTTGATTGGGAATGTCCGGGAAAATAACTGCCCCCACCCCACAGTAGAATAGATAACTTTCTATCTATTCTGGAAACGGTTGAATTTAAGTTACCAACACGATGCTTTATCATCCCTGAGTACTTTAGTATGTTTTGCCTACAATCAAGTACATTCTCCTATGTTAACCACAATACAACTATCAAGATCAGGAAGTTAATGTTGATATACTTCTACCATTCAGTCCTCGGACTCCATTCAGGTTTTGCCAGTTGCCCAGTATTGTTACTTTTGTGAAACCGATCCATTGAAGAATCACATTGCATTTTGTTTTCTTCTTCCCTTAGTCTGGAACAGTTCCTTAGTCTTTTTTGGGCTTTCATGGCTTTGACATTTTTGAAGATGTAGGCCAATTGTTTTGTATAATGTTTTCTCATTTTGGAATACCAAAAAAGTGTTGTTCTGTGAGAAGTGTTCTTCTCATTGAATCCTATCAGATACTACATGGTTTTGATTTATACCAATACAGTTGATGTCAGTCACTTGTTCAGGTTGGTGTCTGCCAGATAGCTCTACTGTAAAGTTACTCTTTACCTCCTGGTAATTAATAAACATTTTGTTGAGAGTTACTTTGAACCTTTGTAAATATTCTTTTTTCAAGAAATTTACCTCCTTCTTCCTCTTCTTTCTTTCTCTCCCTGTATTCTACCTATCCCTCCCTCCCATCCATCTGTCTGTGTATCTCAGATGTACTCATTCATAGATTTCCTTTTTACTCAGTGGGTTATAATAATTTACTCTCCTTATATGTTTAAATGCTTAGATTTTCCCAAACTGGCCATTAGGAGCCCCTTCAGGTTGATTCTCTATCCTTTTGAAAAGTTCATATCATTCTTTTTTGTTCTACACATTATTTTTTCACTTAGTATATATTAGAAGTCACTCTGTATCAGTACGTATAAAGCTGTGTCATTTGTTTTATTTATTATTTTTTTAGTTTAGCATAAATGTAAACCTTTATTTTTTAACTTAATTAAATTTTTTTTTACAATTTTAAATGTTATTTACAGTTATTACAAAATATTGGCTCTATCCCCCATGTTGTGTACAGTACATCCTCGAGCCTGTCTTACACCCAGTAGTTTATACCTCCCACTCCCCCACCCCTGTATTGCCCTTACCCCCCTCCCCACTGGTTGTAACCATTAGTTTGTTCTCTGTATCTGTGAGTCTGCTTCTTTTTTGCTTTATTCACTAGTTTGTTTAGTTTGTTGTATTTTTTAGATTCCTCATATAAGTGATATCATACAGTATTTCTCTTTCTCTGACTTATTTCACTTAGCACAGTGCCCTACAAGTCCATCCATGTTGTTGCAAATGGCAAAATTTCATTCTTTTTAATGGCTGACTAGTATTCCACTGTGTGTGTGTGTGTGTGTGTGTGTGTGTGTGTGTGTGTGTTTATACCTTGTCTTCTTTATCCATTCTTCTGTTGATGGAAAAGTCCCTATCATTCTTTAAATCCTTTCTTACTTTCAAATAAGATGTTCCTCATATACACTATTGATACTACGTATAAAATAGATTACTAACGAGAACGTACTATATAGCAGCGGTCCCCAACCTTTTGGCACCAGGGACCAGTTTCATTGAAGATAATTTTTCCGCGGACCGGGGGTGGGGTGGAGGGATGGTTCGGCAGTAATGCGAGCGATGGTCAGCGGCAGGTGAAGCTTAGCTCGCCCGCCCACCACTCACCTCCTGCTGTGTGGCCCGGTTCGTAACAGGCTGTGGACCGGTACCAGTCGGAGGCTTAGGGGTTGGGGACCCCTGCTGTATAGCACAGGGAACTCTACTTAATGCACTGTGGTGACCTAAATGGAAAGGAAATCCAAAAAAGAGGGGATATATGTATAGCTGATTCATTTTGCTGTATAGTAGAAACTAACACAACATTGCATAGCAACTATACTCCAATAAAAATTAATCAAAAAAGAAAAAAAAAAGAAAGATGTTCCTGGTTCATCTTGTATTATCTGTACGCCAGCCCTGGAATCAGCTCTCTCCACAAGGACCCCTGGTTTCTTTTAATGAAGAACAGTATTTAGAAAACAAGATCTGGACATTAGATGAGATCATTACTATTGAGGTGTCACTGCTTCTAGGTCTCTTAGCACAGAGCTAAGTACATACTTCCTTTATGTATATATTTCTAAATATTTATTTCTGTTTTTATTTATGCATATATTACAATCCATGAGTTTAATATCTCTCATTTCCATTGTAATGCTGGAGGATTCAGCTCAGTTTTATCCTTACCATGTCTATAGTTTCTTTCTTTGACAGTAAGAGACTAGGCTGTCATTATCCTCATTTTGTTTACTGACTAGATTAATTTCCTTGTATGTCACTGCCGTTTTGGACATGTCTCCCCTCTCCTCAACACCTAGCCTGTCCTTAGACGTCCTTTGTCGCTTGGCACTACCTAAGGGCTGTGGAGTGAGAGCTCAGGAAGAGGGAAGAGGAGGGATGCCTTTCACAGTCTAAGGGTATGTTTTGCTTAGTCTGTGGAGGTGGCTTGTCTCTCTTCTGTCACTTCACATCTCTTCTTGTTTCCTCTGACTTCATTCTTGGAGAACCTCTGCGCCACCAGACAGTTCTTAATAGTCCTGAAATAAAATAAAACATTAACAGACACAAAATATACCACATCTTTTCTCTCTCTTTACAAAAGACATTTTTGTTCATCATAGGAGTTATAGATATTTTGGGGGTCGGAGTGTGGGAGGTCACCTGGAATCCCATCACCTACCTTTAGCTGCAATAACCATTTGGGTTCCTGCAATTCTGAATCATTCATGACGAACCAAATTGTATCTTAACTTTTTACCTTCTTTTTACCTCTTTACCTTTTCAAGTCTTTCCTTATTCAAAGCTTGTGAAACTTAACGCCTTTTTAACAAAAAGGCCACTATTTAAAGTTCTGAAATTGCTAATGCATTATTCTTTGCTCCTTTCTATTGTACCTGGCAGTCTCTGTGGCCTGGGAGTCTTCTTTTCCTTTCTTCATAGCTAGCATGTTCCTACCCACGAGTCCGGGGGGGGGAGTATAGACTTTGGAGTCTGAAAGAGCTGGGTTCAAAATCTGACCCTGTTGCTTTCCATTTCTGTATCCTCGGACAAGTTACCTTTGCTGTAGGCTTTATTAGTTTCTTCATCTATAGTATCATCTCTCCATATAATAGAATATGTAACAGCACCTATCACTGATGATTTTTTGAGGAATAAAATGAGATAAATATGTGAAGTAGGGCATACTACCTGATACATAGAAGATTCTTAAGAAATATGAATTTTATTTTCCTTAGTTCTGTTTTTGTTTCATCATTCTCTTCTCGGGTGTGTCCCCGTCTGTACTTTTGTGCTGACCCCCTTAGCGGTCTTAGCTGCCTTGCTTGTGGTATGCTTGTTTCTCTGGCCTCTGCAGACAGAGTGGTCAGCACTGCTTCTCTCTCTCCTTGTTTTTCTATGTTACCTC